CTAAGGAGTATGCAGAGGGGTGTATGAATTTGTCGCATCTCTAGAATTGAGCAAGTGCGGACTGAGATATCTGATGCAGAGCTGAACATCCTTGCAATGCCTGGATGTTTTCTTTGGGTTTTTTTAAATAAAAGCAAGAGCATAGCCCTTGTATAGAGACAAAGCTTGGAAGAAGTCACACACGGCCCTGAATGAGTGCCTCACAGTACAAGCCCGTGTAGTCCCCATTTCCTTATGCTTCACCGTTTCCATTTTCTTCTACCTAAAACAATGTTATGACAGTATGGATCTAGGCAGCAGAGTAAACAACACAAGCTATATAAATGTGCTGAGTACCGTTGCCATGGGAATTCCGCCAAAACAAAACTCCCTGTGGTGAATGGTGCTGTATCGAGATGTCTTAAAAAGTACTTACTGTGTCTCGCTGTGAGTTTCTGCACTCCCATTCTAGACAGGTGTGCCACGATGGTTAATCATCATATATTAAATCTTTTAAACCATTAAAAGTCAATTGGTAGGTCCTCATTGTTATGGGCCATCTATCACTGGTATGTCTCATGGAACGTGAAGTCACGTGAGTGGTGCTTGAAATGGAAGTGAGCAGGAGAGGAGAAGGAAAACAATAAAGGAAGCAGCAGTACCAGCATGGTGTCGTGGTTGGTGTTAGACTACGATCTGAGAAGCCCAGGTTCAGATCGTCACGCTTGATGTGTGTGACCTTGGGGCAGTCTCTTCCTCTCAGCCTAACAGACCTCACCAGGGTTGTGGTTGTGAGGATGAAATGGAAGAGGGGAAGAACAATATAATAAACTGTCTGGGTCTTCACAGGGGAGAAAAAGAGTATATAAACATCTAAATAAACAAATACTGTTAGTCCCCCTGCCTTTACAGAGTAAAATCTCCCCTGTCCCTCCCTGAGGCCTACAACGTAGAGTTGCCAAGTCACCTTCCCTTTGCAGCGGGGGAGTCTTCGTCCCATTCTGGGACATTCACACGTGCACCGCGATGACGTCGCCCGGAAGTGACGTTATCACGCTGGGCATGTCACCGGGCGACGCTCTAGCAATCGCCCTAAAACTCTATGGTACCATAGAGTTTTAGGGCGATTGCTAGAGCGTCGCCCGGCGAAGTGCCCAGCATGATTACGTCACTTCCGGGCGACATCATGGCGCCGGGCACTTCAGCCTGATCGGCCACTTCGGGGGTGGGATTCCCCCCACCGGCCGGATCCGGACCGGTGGATTGGGGGCCCTTTCAGCAGGGGAATCCCCGCCCCCCAGGGGGACTTGGCAACCCTACTACAAAGTCTACCTTTGGCTGCTTTGTTTCATAGCTGACCCTGAGGGAGGCCTGCTTAATTTTCAGCCCCCTTTTTCAAGAGGTGCCTGCTATCACTAAGATGTCACTCAGTCCACATACACACACACACACACACACACACGCACACACACACAGCAGCCTCTTTCCAAACCTGCCAGGTCTCTGATCCCTTCTGGACTTTCCTTTCTGTTGTGTTGCTGAGTCTCTTCCAATGGCGAGTCTGCACTGGCTTTTCCTTCCATTGTTTGAACAGAAATCCCCCTCTGCATTGCATGCTGCTTTCACTTTCTTTGATCATCGGGTTTTATGGTACCTTCTGCACAGATTTATGGCCATTCAGGGGTGACTTAACAGTCAGGACAGCGGTGCCCTGAGTAGGGTTGCCAAGTCCATCTTCCACCCCCAGCGGGGGACTTTGGGGGCGTTCCTGGAGGGGGCGGGGCATCCTCGACGTGATGACGTCAGGTTGGGGACATTCACCACCCCCACCCCCCGCCCGTGTGCCGGATCTCCAGAAACGGCAGTTCCCTGCACTTAAAGGAGCCAACGTTTCCCTTTTAAGAGCTCGAAGCTGGCATTTCCCTGCAAGCTTTCGGAGGAAACACGGGTTCTACACACTTAAAGGGAGAGAGATGGGTGGCTGTGGGTGTTGGGGGTGCGGCTTTCCCTGCCAGCCATTTGGCCGGCAGCAGGTAGAACCCCCCCTAAAACGGGGGGGCCCTGGCAAACCAGGGGGGTTGGCAACCCTAGCCCAGAGGTATTTGTTGTTTTGAGCTGCACTTTTTC